CTCTGGGAGTTGATGCGTAGGTCAAATTCCCCTCACTGGGGCTTCATAGTGTGGTCAAAGTCCCCTGGGTCGCCCGCACCCCCCCCTCAGGGGGAAAACAATGATAGGTGCATAAGTGCTTGGTTCGTATATTATAATTATACGATTTCATTGACAGGTCCATTCTCATAGAGTAAAGATTATGAACTATGTTATAATATGGTTTCCAATTTTAGAAATTCTAAATCAGTTCATGAACATTTCATGCATATTGATCATGAACTGTGCCATGAAGTGTTCATGAATCACTTCATGAAAATTCATGAGGAATTCATGAAACGCTACATGAATTATTCATGAATTATTCGTGAATGATTCATGAAATGTTCATGATTACAAGATCATGAAGTATTCATGAACAGCAATTTTCATGAACTGTGCCATTTAATGTTCATGAGAAAATTCATGAAAAGTTCATGAATATAGCTCATGATTTGCTCTTCAAAAATGCATGAACATTAGTTCATGAACTGTTCATGAACAAAAAAGTTCATGAACTTGTTATTCATGAACTGTTACTTTCATGAACTGTGCCATTTAACGTTCATGCACATTCATGAAGAGTTCATGTACTTTTGATGGAAGTTCATGAACAAAATTCATGAATTTTTCATGAATAATTCATCAAATTTTCGCCGGGGCTGATACCTGTGCATGAAATTCAATATATCTATCGCAATTCAAGGACACAATCTAAGAGGTTAAGAAAAGTATTTGATGTGTAACTTTTATATACATCAACTTGATGATGATGCAATTGACACTCGATCAGTAAGCTAAATATGACCACACATTTTATTTTTATTGCACCTTTGAATAATCATCTGACAGGATTTTAAATTTCACAACTACAAAGTAACAGAAAACAATATATTTTATAAGCAAGAACTACATTAATCATAAGATTACTTTAATCAGGTATTTACTTACTATCAGAATCCAAACATCTTTCAAATTTCATGGACATTTGGGACAAATCATAGCACCTCACTCGCGGTTTATAGCAACCTTAGAGAGAAAGAAATTGATGGCTGACCAGCTATTCATCATTCCGAGATTTTAAATCGCAAACTACCATGGATAGAAATTGGAAGGAAAAAGCATGAATGAGGATGTTTTACCATTTTGGGTTTTTTCTGTAATAAATATTATGCACAAAGATTTCTTTATTGATTGACAACAAATATGGACCCATACATACCATACAATACAGTATATCTCACCTGAAGCCAGAACATAATTTCCATCTTGTGAAATTTCAATATTTGTTGAAGCTGTTGGCATGTCAAAGTCTTGGATAAGTTCAATTCTTCTTCGTATATCTACATACAGAAGATAAAATATGGTGTCAAATTGGAAAGCATTGCATCTGGTTAAAAGGACTGTACAGTATTGTTTGTTAACTCGTCAAACAGCAGAAATTGATAAATGTCGTGCTTAGCAACCAACCAAGATCCTCCTTCTGAAGCAGTCTTCTTCTTCGTTCTGAAAGCCACTGCAAAGCAAAGTAACAACTTAGTTGTTTATGTGTTACATATCTATATATACTGGCTTCCACAAACAAATTTACTAATAAAATGAATAACGGGAACAAGTATGTGGCAACTTCTACTTGTTCACAATGTTTTTTGCATCAGGCAAGTGCTATAAAGTTACACAACTGATCTGCATAGTCCATCTTGACAAATCATTTTTTTGTGTGGGACAAGAAAGTAACAGGGCAAACTACAGTGTTCACAAACATGGTTTATTCCAGGACTTTGACTAGTTAGATCTGTACTGTTTCAGTAAGTTTGTATACAATTAATGCCTGCAAATTAATGCAGAACTTTCACATACAAAAATATTATTTAAGTGTAAATTAAAATTTCTGTCTCACTCCAAAATCCAGCCCTCGAAAAATACAAATTATAAATTTATGGGAGATTCATTAAATACCAAGTATAATGTCCTCATGTTTTTATATTATTTCATACTATACCTCTGGTAAGCTCTTCCCAGCAGAAAGATTATAAATTTTAACATCGTTGGGTTGGGAAACCTGCATAATAGATATGTGTTATTTCTGTGATATACCATGTGATATAGTACTTATCCCACACCAATATCCCACACTTTGCGTCACGCTGTCTCTCGCCCCAGTCTCCCTCGCGTTAAAATTCAATATGGCGGCCAGGAATGTGTAAATTGTTTAGTTTCGTTGTAGCATGAGCCAAAAATTTGGTCTTTTTCAGACCCAAGAGATCCTAGAAGACCAGAGCGTATTTCTCTTGCTTATGCATGGTGAATGGACAGATATTCCAAGACGAATTTAAAAAGCGTGCCTTTCTGACCGATAGCTACTAATAACGAACAGAAATCCTCGGCAGAAATCAGTCTCAAAGTAATAAATATTTGCCCGAAAAATAGAAATCAAACCTAGAATTGTTATTGTTGAGAATATTAAGTGCCCATCTTTGTTTATTGTTGAAAACATGACAATCAAAATATTAAAGTAACAACAGTTGATTGGCTTCCTTGTTTTTACCGACTTAGCTACTCTTGAAGTGCAAAGGATAATTTTCAATTCTCGTTAGAAGTTGGTATTTTTAATAGCATCACTTTAATACAGACAGTTCTTTAATATTGATCCTTTCTCACACGAAATATTTTATAAAAAACCTTTTGATTCAGTACAAACATGTCAGCAGAAGATCAACTTGTTGTTTATAAATATAAAACTGGCGCATCCTAAAAGAGAATAATTTGTAGTGTATGCAATCTTTCGTGCTATAGCCTATACTGTGTCAGTACCTCCATAATGATATATATAGGAGTCAGGACATATAGCCTAGTACCGCGTCGTCGTGTGCGACCTTCTTATATGTAGGCTAGTATGCTCGGTATGCTATGCCATATTATAGACGGCCAACAATATTGAATCTCAGAGCAAGCGAAAACTCAAGCGAAAACGCGGATAGAGTCGTAGGATTTTTACTCGTACTAAAATTCCCTCACTGAGTGTCAGTTTAATTTACAGTTTAAACATGAACGAATAGACACACATGCATGCGTTGAAACATCATTTATATATACCAACTTTATAATACATGCATGGTCTATAACTCTAACTTGTTTGTATTTTTGTCATTTTAATTGAGTGAAAGGTTTATATTATCACGCGCTATAAAAGCTTTTTACCAGGTTTTTTATAAAATATTTCGTGTGAGAAAGGATCAATATTAAAGAACTGTCTGTATTAAAGTGATGCTATTAAAAATACCAACTTCTAACGGGAATTGAAAATTATCCTTTGCACTTCAAGAGTAGCTAAGTCGGTAAAACAAGGAAGCCAATTAACTGTTTGTTACTTTAATATTTTGATTGTCATGTTTTCAACAATAAACAGAGATGGGCATTTAATATTCTCAACAATAACAATTCTAGGTTTGATTTCTATTTTTCGGGCAAATATTTATTACTTTGAGACTGATTTCTGCCGAGGATTTCTGTTCGTTATTAGTAGCTATCGGTCAGAAAGGCACGTTTTACGCAATAATGATTGCAGCAATATTTTCACACACCCCGGTATTTTTTTTCCGAATTTTTAACAAATTAAGAATTTTTAGTGTGCATTATTTTATTGATATTTCCTTTTTATTGATTATTGCAGTCTAGTTTGGGAAAATTGCAGCAATTACTTGCACGACAAGATGCAAAAAAATGCAAAATAGAGCGGCAAGAATAATTACTGGCAAATCATATGAAATACGAACAAGTGAATTGCTAAAAGAGCTTAATTGGCAAACACTTGAGGAAAGAAGGGAAGCGGGAGATTCACATTCATGTTTAATGTTAAAAATCAGGAGGTACCGGCAAATATGGCTAATTTGTTTAGATTCTCTAATAATGAAAAATATGACCTTAGAAATAACGGAATTAATTTTCAACTGGATAAACCTAAGACTAATTTCCTCAAAAAAAGTATTAGCTACTCAGGGGCAAAATGCTGGAATAATTTGCCAAATGAGATTAAGGCAAAAGAAATGACGATGGGACACAATATTTTGTATATATTCTCTTAGACTTTAACTGTGTGATAATTTATATTATATTATATTTTATTAAACTTTGTAAATATTAGTTTAAACGGCCTCTTGAAAAACGGATCATAGGTGTTCTGAAGAGCTACCGTTTTAAAATATTTGTAAATAATAATAATAAATTGATATTTCCTTTCCTGTTCATTAATACTGAAAAATTTGTATTTTCCGATGTATTTTTGTACGACACGACTTTGTTTATCTGATTGTCTCGCTTTATGAAACATATAAACCTTTATATTTTTCGCTGTGTAATATAAATAAACTCTGTATCGTTTATGAAGAACAAATTTTGCACTCGCTCGTCCGTTTAATTTGCGAAAACAGATTATAACGCGTGCGTAAATACCACACGTAAGTATTTCCCATGAAAAAATCTCTATATACTATTTGGTTATCCGGTTATCCGGTTATCCGGTTATCCGATTATCCGGTTATCCGGTTATCCGGTTATCCGGTTATCCGGTTATCCGCTACCCGGGTTTTCTACCATGCCTTTAGAAATCACAAAACACATTTGGAATCACAAAACACATTTGCAAATCACAAAACACATTTGCAAATCACAAAACACATTTAGAAATTGGAAATTTAGAAGTGCTTCCACTTCATAAAACTGGATTTCCTGTTTTCATCCTTATTTATTTATCCTTATCTGGCGTTTGAAATAGACTATTATTAAGACCCAATGGTTGGAATCTAATAGTTTTTTTGCCATTATCTTGGCAATTCATTATCTTTTCTACCAATTTTATTCCAAAAAGGATTTTCTGCCATTTTTCCTGCCAGAGCCCAATTTTTCCTTTTGCCAGAATTTTCATGGCAAGTGGAAGCTATGAATTCACAACGTGGTTGGAGGAAAAACAAATCCACCACGAAATGGACGAGGAAGAAGAAGCAATAAGATATTATTTCAGAAGAAATTACGACTATAATGCGATATTAGAGTTTTTAGACAAATACCATGACATAAGGATGTCGAAACGGACTCTCTTAAACCGTTTAAGAGATTATGGTTTGAACAGGCGAAATCGCAACATCGACGAAGATCTCCTTCGCGATCATATTAACAGGGAATTACAAGGCTCTGGTAACCTACTTGGTTACCGAGCGATGTGGCGGAGACTTCACTTGAAATATGACATTAATGTACCAAGGTCAGCGGTAGAAGAATTAATGAGAGAAATTGATCCCGAAGGTGTCAGAAGCCGAAAAGCCCACAGGCTTAAAAGAAGAAAGTACTCTAATCTCAAACCTTATGGGCTGCCTATACACGGATGTATCGATGGTTTTAGTCGACGTTTGATATGGCTGAAAGTGGAAAAGAGCAATAATGATCCTCGAGTAATCGCAAACTTATTCAAAAACGCTATCATTGAGATAGAAGGTTGCCCAACACTCCTGCGTACTGACCGAGGGACAGAAAATGCAATCGTCTCGTCAGCCCAATGTTTCTTTAGAAGAAATGGAACCGATTCTCTTGCTGGTTTGAAAGCCCACCGCTTTGGCTCTTCTCATAGCAACCAGCGCATCGAGGCTTGGTGGGCATTTCTAAGACGAACATGGAGTACTTGGTGGATGAATTTCTTCAAAGACATGATACATGAAGGCCACCTCGATGCAAGTAATAAATTACATCTTGAATGTATCTGGTTCTGCTTTAAGAATCTCATACAAAACGAATTAAACGGCGTTATGGAAGAGTGGAATAATCATTACATTCGTAAGTCTCGATTTCAAACGGCCTCAGGCATCCCAAACAATCTCTTTTTCCTACCTGAAAGTGTCGGTGCCACAGACCGCAAACATCCATATAACCGGGAAGATATGGAGGAAATCAATAATGAACTCCGTATACCTGCAGAGAATGATGATTCCTTGATTTATCAGGAATATTTTTCTTATGTCAGTCAAATTATTAGACTTGGTGAACCAAGTTCTGCGAGGGAAGCACTAACTTTATATTGTAGACTTTTGGTTGCTGCTCAATAAATAGCACACCAAATAATATTAACGGAAGCACTCTTGACATTATATATTTTCTAACAAAAACTTTTATATCAACTTTAATCAAATGTCAACTTATTATGCAATGATAATTGTTGCTCTATATAATCATGTTACTTTTAAATATCAATAAAAAGTCTTGAAATGTATCTGAAAATTGAAAACTTAGACTACGTGCAAACGGTAACGTTTTCGAGCATTTTCATTTGTGTTTTCACACAAAAACAGATGCAAATAATATCAATTTACGACAGACGTTGGAGCTAATTTAAAATATTGGATATTTTCCCTTGGACCGCGTGAACATGGCCCAAAATGATAAAAGGGACAAAAACGTTTTTGAAAACGCTCGAAAACGATGCCAGTGTGCACATAGCCTTAAACTCTAACAACTCTTTGTAACATACATGGAAAGGGATCCATTGTTTACTTGATGCATACGATATACCACACATACAGCTAATTCAATAAAGGTTGTCCTTCCAAAAACGTAAATGTTAAACTCTGAGCGCGCAAAGGACAATGGGTTATTGCTTATTTAGACTCATAAACTTTGAAATTTGGCTTCGCAAGAGTACCTAAGACATATATAAGACTCACGACAGAAAACATACTTGCTGCAAAGGCAATTCTCTGTGTTTTAAGGGCCTAATAGGTGAAAACCCATCATTCCTTGCGCGCTCAAAGTTTAAGGTTTAAGGTTTTCGAATGACAACCTTAATTGAATCAGCTGTATACAAAGTATTGCTGTTATAAGCATTTGGCAACTGAAACACACTCTTAAACTAATTGGAACCCAGGCGAGTTCAGCAGACAAAACGTGAACTCTTCAGAAAATTTTTTTCCATCTTCTAGACCACTTACTGGAAACTTAAGAATGTTAGCACATGAATTTGTGCTTATCTTTCTTGCCATATTCAAGTGGTGCAGGAACACTATGGTAGGGCGAGGAGAAAAGCCAACAGCGGGAACATGTTGGGCACCAGTTGCAAATTGAAGAATATCACTTAGTGATACTTTGACTTCTCTGTCTTCAAGTTGACCGGTTACCTTACCACTTTCCGCATCCTCAAGATACTGGTTGAAATTAAAAATGATGCTCTGTTCAATTGCAAATTTGTTGCTGCCAACAGGACTGAAAACAGGATCAAAGATAGAATCAACATCTTCAGCAGTAAGCTTTGCATGACCCACTTCAAATAAACATCTGAAACTATCAGGGTCTTCTTTGATAAGATGTAACATATTGCAGGTATTCAGGCCATCGACAAATTGGTTGAGCTCACTTAAGGAAACAAGTATAGTATAATGAAGGGCAATACATTTTATAAAATCGTCTTTGTCAGCCATTGTTACAATGGGCTTTGCATAGCCAGCATCAAATCGATAATCACTTTCAAAAGATGCCTTTTGTTTAAACTCATCAGGATTTGTAAGATTATTCAACTCCATGAGGCTATTCTTCACCTCATGAACTGGGATTTCTTCTATGGATGGAGTTAAATTATCAATGCTCCCAGAACAAATATAGTCAAACACTGACTTTGTAAAACATCTTGGGCCAGGTGATCCTTGAAGCAAACCAATAGCTGTCAATTGCCCAAAGGCATAGTACTCCCGTCCTTTCAAGGCAGAAATATTATGTCTGAACGCAGATTGTGTAATCAACTTTCTTTCAGCGGCTTCGTTTATCAGGCCAAAATATTCACGAGATGGTCCGCCTTGGTCGACTGCAGGTTCGCCAATGAACTGTACTTTTATTGGATTATTTATAGCGTTCTCATCTCTTTGAAGTTTTATCATTGTATCTTCCCATACATGATGCCTTCGTACTTTTATTCTGAAGTTTTTTGAACTGTCCATAAACTGTTCCTTACAGTGTTCAAGTTTCTCCGTCAGTGTTGCATTAACTGTGTAGTGAGTTTTCGAAGACGTTTCCAAAAATGATTCCAAATTTTCATCATCATCATGGAGTATGTTCACATCTGCATCGCATTCTTCTGTAATCAGTGACCCGTACCTGTTATTTACTGACCTGTCATCGTCCTCTACAACCATATTAATTGCCTCTTCCAGGGTTTCATTTAGCTCAAGTGCTTGCTTTAATTCACTCTCGCCACGATTAGGGAACATTTCTCTCATTGTTTTCATCCCATTTACTGTTCCACGAGCACTTTCACTTTCATACAATGAACAACTTGTTCCAGGTAAATTTTCATTATTGTTGGAAAAGATGTTCTCTGATGTTGATGGGCCAGCAGTAGTTTGCTTTGTTGTATTGTGAGTAGAAGAGTCAGTAACTCGAGCAAATGATTCTATAACAGTCATCTGTCTTACAGTGCTTTCCTCTGCCTCATCATCAGAGTCACTTGTGTTGTGTCGCAGTTCGTTATAGCTTTCTAGGTCACTCCGTTTCAATAAGAAAAGGGTTATTCGATTATACGCTTTACCAACATCCTGTTGATATTCATCCAACTGAAAAATGCGGTTGGGATGATCTGGTAGCGTAATTATTTCCGTTCCATCAGGAAAAGCAAGAGTATAATCCGCATCTTTGTCAAATGTGCGGTCATGTGCGCAGTGTTTATCATAAGATAATTTCAAAAGTTCAAGCTTTCGAATTGTTGTAGGAACACGAACCATCTTAATTTTACCTTTAACAGGCTTAAATTCCCCTTTGGTCAAGTTCATTAAGCCTATTCCAACGAAAACTTCCTTGACCTTGAGAGGCTTTTTCCCTTTTTTCGACGTTTCCTTCTGCACTCTTTCGTTGGATTTCCTTTTTCGGAACTCGTTGAACGATTCAACACGTGGAACTCGTTGAGTTTGCAAGGTCCCTTTTGGTGGCAGAGAAGGTGTTGAATATGATGGTCCTGAAACACATCTCTCACTTTCAGTTGATATGTACGCTGTACTTTCAGATCTTGACGAAGATTCAACGACTAGTACTTCCCCACACTTATGGCAAAATCGAAACGACTCTAAAACATCTGAATAACATTTTGGACATTTCATTGTTTTGTTTGATGTAAAAGAATATTTTCAAACAATTTTCCCACGTTTTCCAGACGCCATTTTGAAATTTGAAGACATTCGTAAACACTTCATGTAACAAATGGTTTGTGACCACTAGCTTCCACATGCAAGGAAATTCCTGGCTAAAAAAATATTGGGCTCTGGCATGGCTCTGGCAAGATTTAGCAAGGAAAAATGGCAGAAAATCCTTTTTGGAATAAAATTGGCAAGAAATATAATGAATTGCCAAGATAATAGCAGGAAACTATTAGATTCCAACCATCGGGGCTTAATAATAGTCTATTTCAAACGCCAGATTATAAGGATAAATAAATAAGGATGAAAACAGGAAATCGAGTTTTATGAAGTGGAAGCACTTCGGAATTTCCAATTTGCAAATGTGTTTTGTGATTTGCAAATGTGTTTTGTGATTCCAAATGTGTTTTGTGATTTCTAAATGTGTTTTGTGATTTGCAAATGTGTTTTGTGATTTGCAAATGTGTTTTGTGATTTGCAAATGTGTTTTGTGATTTGCAAATGTGTTTTGTGATTTGCAAATGTGTTTTGTGATTTGCAAATGTGTTTTGTGATTCCAAATGTGTTTTGTGATTTCCAAATGTGTTTTGTGATTTCCAAATGTGTTTTGTGTTTTCCAAATGTGTCGCAAAAGAGAAAATTGTGTGGTAAAATGGTTAATTGTGTTTCATGTTTTGGGTAAAAATGTATCAAAATAGTGTAAAAATGATAAAGAAACGTAATTTTTGTTTTGCTTTGTTTGTTTTGTGTTTTGCACTTCTGGGCCACCGTAGGTTTTGGTAGGTACAAAGTGCCGGTTGTACTAGCCAGAATGGCGTGATTGATGACGAATCGCTTGTAAAAACGCAGACAAATACTTGCTTCAGTTACGCTTCTGCTATTACCTTCCTATTCTGTGACAGTAGTCAGTAGCATAATAGCATTGTAGCAAAGGGTGGGATAAAACGCGGATACGGACGGACGGACAAAAATAATAAAATGCGGATGGCGGACAATTAAAATAATAAAATGCGGATGGCGCAACAATCAAATGCATAATAAAATAGTTTATTTAATGAAAACATTAAAATATAAAGTATTAGTATAAATTTTGCTTATTAAATACGCTTTCGCACGTTCTGATTGGCTAGTACGTTGACTGGTAAATCTGACGCATTATTTAATTACCAGCTGACAAGTAAATAAATGCTTTTGAAAAAGAATTCGGCAAATTTGGTTTCAAAATCGACGAAATATTGAAAAAATCATCCCCAGAAAACGAAAGCACAAAATTTTGTATCTAACTTGAAAGGTAGGATTCATTGATTATTTTACTGTGTCAAACATATCCACGGAGAATTTAAAACTTATTTAAAACTCCGAAACATTCACTTCAAACAAATAGCAAAAACTATCCTGACTGTTGGGGAAAACCGTGCCGTGATATTCTTTTAAAACCATTTTGTTTTATATCCTGTAGATATTTCAATTTGTACGATACTATTTATTTTGATATGTCATGTATGTATGTATGTATGTAAACTTTTATTTAAAAGCAAAAAGGAAAAAACACGACGCTAGCCTCATCAGCTACAAGCTGGTTTCCATGAGAGGCGTCGGAACACACTTGAATAAATAAAGTTATTTACAAGATTACGAAGAAATAAGTAAGTTATGTATCAAGACTATTAATATTCATTTTAAAGGTATATTCAGATTGATCTAGTTTTGCTTACAAAGGGAGGCTATTCCAAATTTCGCCCCGCTAAATTTAAAGCTATTTTTGAGGAGTTCTCTTTTGGGATGTGGGAGAACCAAATCAGTACTCGAATTTCTAAGATTATAATGAATTTCCAGAGCACTAATCCTAGTGAACGATTCTTTCAAACTCGATGCACCTTAATTATTTAAAATTCTATACATTAAGATTGCTTTATTCCTTTTAGTCTCACTACTAGTGCTTCCCAACCAAGAGCTTCAAGAACGTCAGCCGATGGAATTTCATAACTAGCACCGGCAATTATTCTACCCGCGCGATTTTTGAAAGTTTTCCCTTTAAATAAGCACAACAATTATCCCATAGGGGAGAACAGTAATCGAAATATGGCTGTATAAGGGCCTTATAAATCAATCTCATAGTTTAAATAGGGACAAACGGCTTGATTCGTTTCATAACTGCTATTCCAGCGCCCACTTTTTGCATATTTTCTCAATATGTTTGTCCCAGAGTAATCTTTTATCAATTATCACTCCTAAGCATTCAAAGGAGTCGGTTGAAGGGATCGTTTTCCCATTCAGCATTACCGGGGAATCTCGAACCTTTTCTTTTAGATTTTGTGCCGATCCAATGATCATTACCTTCGTTTTGGTGGGGTGGGGTTGGGGGGATGTTGTAATTTATTTATAGCGAGCCATTTACTAATTTGGTTTAAATCGGAATTTAATTTCTCTATTAGATCTGCATATACAGTAGAAGATGCAAATATCTGGGTGTCATCAGCATATAAGCGGAGAGTAGTTTTACTGAGACACTCTGGTATCATTTATGTAGAGTAAGAAAAGCAATGGTCCTAGAATAGAGCCCTGCGGCACACCGGTCATGATCTTTTTAGGAGAGGAAGATTGCCCATTAATATTGCACACCTGTTCTCTATTCATAAGGTACGACTCAAACCAGCCTAGCTCAATACTAGTAAGACCAAATTGTGTTTTCATTTTGTGTAGCAATATTTTGTGATCAATTGAATCAAATGCTTTTCGTATATCTAGGAAAACAACTCCGATCAATTTCCCACAGTCCAAATTTTGATGCCATTCATCACACATCTGTAATAGTGCAGTCAGCGTTGAGTCTTTGGCCGAAAACCGGATTGATATTTTGATAAAAGGGAGTTGTCATTAAGAAATTTGTATAATTGATCAAAAACAGACCTCTCTAGTATCTTACTTATGACAGGCAAGATCGAAATTGGCCGATAGTTTTCGCATAATCGTCTATCGCCGGATTTGTAAATTGGTAATACGCAAGCCTTTTTCCATGCGTCAACAAAAATTCCGGTTTTTAAAGACAGATTAAAAATCCAAGTTATTGATGGTGCAATAATATCTGCAGCTATCTTGAGAGCACGAGAAGTCAGTAACATTAAAGTTTTTAAAATTCCGGACAACTTTTAATCGTTCTCGACATTTTGGGGAATTAAACTTTCTAACTGCATATATTAAACTATGATCAGAAATTCCAAGGTGAATCACACCAGATTGTAAAATGTTTTCTGGTTTATTTGTAAAAAACAAATCGATCATGGTAGCCGACATTCTTGTGACCCTTGTTGGTTCGTTAATTAACTGATCAAATTGATACAGCGAGAATGAAAATAACAATTTGCATGTATTAGGGTCCTGGGGGGTCTTAGAAATATCGCAGTTTAAATCTCCCATTATTAATAACTCATAGTTTTCAAGATCACATTTACTAAGGAATGCCTCAAAATCAGTAAATAAAATGATAATGGAATTTGGCGGTCTATACCAGGCACATACTAGAAATAACTTGTTATATGGTTTTTAATCTCTAGGCATATCATTTCCAATGAATTAGAATGTCAAGTCATTTCGTTCTGAGAATGATATAGTATCTCGAAGGTAGATTATCACTCCGCCACCATTTCTATTACGATCTTTTCGGATCATATTATATCCAATGATATGGGTTTCTCTATCTAAAACTATGTCATCAATTTTAGACTCATTAATTGCTATTACTAAATCTAGGGGCTATTACTAAATCTAAGGGCTTCTTATCCTTCATTAAAATTCGAAGTTCGTCAATATGTTTTGTGATGCTGTTGATATTAAGGCTAGCTAATTTCATACCCTTTAAATTATTCAATGAGTTAATCGATTTACCTTGGTCTTTGTAATAGTTTTGCACAGGGTCACGCTTAGATGGTTCTAATAAGTCCTTTGCAGTAGTCGAACGAGCTTCTCCATCAGATGCTATTGATGGACTGATGGACGAAAATCCTTGCCTTTTTTATTATCATAATATTTTGACAGGGGGCCTAACTCGCAGTGCGATTTTCAGTAGGGCCCTGATAAAAACTATTACATAAATAATAAATTGTCCATAAAGTTAATAAAAGTTAGTAGAGGTTAGATTAAAAAGCTAAAAAGTTAGAAATAAGTATACTGTAATAGAATATACATAAAGAGCATTCCAAAACCATTAATCTATGAAAGTCTAAAAATTTGTTGCTAAAAGGCTTTTAAAACGTGTTAGTGTTTCAGCCTGTTTGATGTGTTCTGGCACACTATTCCAGTCATTTACTGCATGCACAACGAATCTCTGCAAGCCCCAGTTTGTCTTTGATTTAGGCACACGGATTTTCTCAGAACCTCTGGTGTTATAACCATGGTCGCCATTCTTTCGAAAGTCATGATTAAAATTAACCAGACCATTTAGACACTTGTACATCGCCACGCGACGATGAGAACAGCGGCGAGAGACTAGAGGTTTCCATGTCAGCTGATTAATAGCCTGAGTTGCTGATGCATACTTTGGTAAATCTAATATGGTACGAGCTGCATTATTTTGAAGTACTTGAAGTTGGTTCATCAAAAGGGCATTATTTTTGTCACCCCATACAACGTCCGCGTAATCAAACAGAGGTAGAATTAGACTGTTATATAAGGTTATTCTTGCGTCGCGGGGAAGTAGATGTTTTACTCGTCGTAGAGCTCCTAATCGTTGACAAACTTTCACATTTAGCTGGTCAATATGATCCAACCAAGTCATGTTCTTGTGCATAATAACACCCAGATATTTAAACGAATCTTCATCATGAATTTGACATCCGTTTATTTGCAAGGAAATTTTTTTATCTTTGCCAGTTTTTGATTACTCCCAAATATAACAAATTTACATTTAGTTTCATTCAATGTTAGGAGGTTTTTGTTGAGCCACCGGCTTAAACTTGCTAGATCGGAATTTAGTTTATCCTCAACTACTGATACATCAGAAGAAGAAAAATAAATAACCGTGTCATCAGCATAAAGAGATACGTTACAGTGTTTTATACATGAAGGCAGGTCGTTCACATAGATGATAAATAGTAACGGACCCAACACACTTCCCTGAGGTACTCCAATGTGTACAGATTTAGCAGACGAGTAAATATTTCCAACTGCAGTTACTTGAGTTCTGTTTGTAAGATATGATTCAAGCCAGTTTACGGATGTGTCAGCAAAGCCGGCGCGTTTCAGTTTATCATACAGAATTCCGTGATCGACGGTGTCAAAAGCTTTCGTTAAATCAATTGAAACTACCCCTGTGAAAAGTCCTCTGTCCATGTTTTCCAGAATTGAGTCAGTGAAGTCGACGAGGGCAATCTCAGTCGAGCTTTTGGGCCTAAAACCAAACTGAAATGGCGACAAAAGTTTATTATCCTGTAGATAGCTATACATTTGTAAATGGGCCGCTTTCTCTAGAATTTTACTAACAATCGGGAGAACTGTTATTGGCCGGTAGTTATTTGGATCAGTTCTTTTCCCAGACTTAAACAGAGCAGTAACCTTCCCGCATTTCCAAATGTCAGGGTATATAGAAGAAGACAGTGAACGATTAAATAATTTGGTCAGTACAGGAGTTAGAACATTGGCAGAATCTTTCAACAAACGAGCACTAACACGATCAAGACCAATAGCTTTATTGGTTTTCAACTCATGGAGATTTTTGTTAACAAATTGTTCATCAATATCCCCAAAGGAAAACTCACAAGATGTTGATGCCCAAATATCACTGACAGAATTTGGCGTAATGACCTGACGAATGAATCCGAAACTAGACTTGATTAATGTCGCTAATTTCATTCCAATAGACGAAAAGTGCAAGTTTAAACCTTCAACAATTGATTTAACGTCAGTTTGTGACGTGCCATCAATTTCAATAGAAGTTATAGGAGCAGATGATTTCCTCGATGTAATTTCATTTAATGTTTTCCAGAGTACACTAGAGTTTCCTTTGTTTTTGTTTATTAGGTCTAGATAATACTCAGATTTACATTTCTTTATAAGTTTATTCACAGATATCTTTGCTTGCTTATAGAGCTTCCAGTGATATTCAGAATTTGATTTTACAGCCTTTCGACGATGATAATCGCGATCCCGCATAGCAGTACTTAAATTACTCGTGATCCACGGTGCATGTCTTCCTTTCATTCGCAGTTTTCTAATTGGAGCGTGTCTATTAGCCACGTCAGAAGAATAGTTGGTCCCATACCTTAACGGCATCATTAACATTTTCTTGATTATCAACAACATTCCAATCTATATTCTTAAGATCGTTCACAAAAGCACTTTGGGAATAGTTCTTATATGATCTGTATTCTATTGTTCGTGGCGGAAGCTTAGGGACTCCAGCTTTTAGTATGCAATAGATAAGGGAATGGTCACTTAATGATGGATGTAACACCCCAGAATCGATTATACGATGATAATTGTTAATAAACAATAGGTCAATTGCAGTGGCAGATTTTTCAGTAATTCTTGTAGGAGTTTTAATAAGTTGTTCCAAGTAATGCAAATTTCCAAAGCGAACAAGTTGTTGTCGTAAAGAGTCTTTCTTTGCCGCTAGAACATTAACATTGAAATCGCCCAAAATTATAATATCGGCTTCCGAGGGAACAGTACATAATACGTTACTTAAACTTTCAATAAAATGTTCAAGTTTCTTGTCAGGAGCCTTATATATAGTAAATATGAAAAGTTTCCTAGCTTTTACTCGATTGACTTCAATAACACAGGATTCAATATTCGGTGCTTGCAAGTCAGAGCGCACACAGTAAGGCAAGCCATCACGAATATAGGCTAAAGTACCTCCCCCAATACGAATATCTCTGTCATTCCTCGATAAAGTATATCCAGGGATATAAATTTCATTATCAGATACATTAGCTTTCAGCCACGTTTCGGACAGAGTTAACACATCAAAAGGGTTTTCCTTTAAGAAGATACGTAATGAGTCGATCTTACCGATCAAACTTTGAACATTGAGGTGAGCGATCTTTAGTCCACGAAATCGAGGGAAATCGTTAGATACTGGTCCAGGATTTACTGAGATATCATTCGAAGTAGAAATTAAAACCGCGGCCAGGAAAGCTTTCTGTAAAAGGTAGCAGCTAGACATCATAAGCTTAGCATTCGTTAGTGGGACACGTAATGATTTGCCGGTTGATCGAAGAGGTTGAGATGTTGTTGTTGGAATTGCCGGCTTCGAAACAACAGCTGCAGCGTACAGAACATCACAATCGACATATCGAGAGTGCCAAAGTGATTCTCCAGACTTGTTTAGATTTGATATTAGTAGATAGAAAATCAATACAGCAACCAACTGAGACAGCGAACACAGTTGACGACCACACGACATCATAATCAACCTTGATCTCTTAATCAACCTTGATCTCTTTCAGTGACTGGTTAGTGACTGGTTTCAGTGACTTTCCAGCATTGGTCACTCCATAGCTTCCTTATCCACCATAATGAGTTCTACGAGTCTTCATTCTATGTTAAAAAGACGTTTTTCACAGCCATAAATTTGTGTTTTGAATCGTTTTGCAAAATTTCGAGATTTGGTCAGATGAACATGAACAGAAGGCACTGAACATGAACAGAAGGACAAGGTTCTTCACTTTGAGGACAAGGTTCTTCATTCTGAGGATAAGGTTCTTCTCTCTGAGGACAGGGTTCTTCACGCTGAGCACAAGGTTCTACACTCCGAGGACAAGTTTCTTCACTCAGAGGACAAAGTTCTTTACTCCGAGGACAAGGTCCTTCACCATGAGGACAAGGTTCTTTACTCTGAGGACAGGGTTCTTCACTCTGAAGACAAGGTTCTTCACTCTGAGGACAAGATTTCTCACACTGAGGACAAGGTTCCTCACTTTGAGGACAAGGTTCTTCATTCTGAGGATAATGTTCTTCACTCTGAGGACAAGGTTCTTCACACTGAGGACAAGGTTCTTCACACTGAGGACAAGGTTTCTCACTTTGAGGACAAGGTTCTTCATTCTGAGGATAAGGTTTTTCTCTCTGAGGACAAGGTTCTTCACACTGAGGACAACGTTCTACACTCCGAGGACAAGGTTCTTCACTCTGAGGACAA